CCCTTCCCTTCCCTTCCCTTCCCTTCCCTTCCCTTCCCTTCCCTTCTTCCTTCCGTCCATCTGTCTTGGAGAATGAGACAACATCAAGAAGGGACACACTAAGAGCCACCATCAAGCAAGAAACCACAAAGGATTGAGAAGGAGCCTCCGGAATGACAGAGCCAAATGCACAAGTGTAGCTTCTTCCGGGGACATCTCTCTTTCATTTAGGGAGCACAGCCTGAAACTTTCTGTGGAAGAAGGGAAACTGTCCCCACCTCTGGGCTTGGGACCAAGAGTGATCAAATCTTGGAGTCAGGGGGAGCCTCTGAATCCTTTCCTTAAAAAGGAAAAGGGAAAACAAATGTTCGCCACTTCCTTCCAGGGCCTGGGAAGCAGCACCATCTTGAATTACTTGAGAAGGCTGCAACTGCTTCCTCTAGCTTTCTCTCTTTAATGTGATCGTGAGCCCCCCCAAGAGAGGATTACTTCTCAAATAAGTTTCTTTGTCTTCAAATCACCTTTGGACAAGGGCCAGACATGGACAGCATCAGCCTACTTGGAGAAAACCTCAAGGCTTTCGTAAGAGGCTGGGAAGATGGGATTCTAATGAGAGCCATTCTGGAACTTTAACTACAGCATTTGCTTCCCGAACACTATAATAATCATTATTATTCTCTGCTATCTATTATTGTCTGGTAAATAATATGTGTTTTCCCCAAAGTTCTAAAGGGCGCAGCTGCGCCACACTCTATTTTTTGCAGCCCCACCCCTGCCGCTCGGAAAGCCTCCTCACACGGAGCTTATTCCAAGAGAATGGCAAAGCAGACCATCTGAACCTCTTCCTTCCCTCTCACCACGTATTTGCCGCGTCTGGGACACACGAAGGCCAGATGGTGGCAGTACAAGTCCCTTTCTGCTGAAACCTTGGAGGAGGGGGTGGTACCGAAGTCATCCTCACTTGTTCTTCTGGCTCGGTCCGAGCAGCCTGCTGGTCAGTGACGCAGGAATAGACTATGGAATCAATGGAAACGAGGAGCCAGGCCTGGGCTTCCCCTTCCTGATGGTTAATGGTAGGCAACCCAAGAGTGAGGAGGAAGCAAGCTTGGAGCTTTACAAAGCGGTCATGCCCGGCTGGTACGGCTCAGTGATTGAGCGTTGGCCCAGGAACCAAGAGGTCACGGTTCGATTCCCGGCCAGGGCACGTGCCTGGGCTGCGGGCGGCGGCTGATTGATGATGTTCTCTCTCATCTATGTTTCTGTCTGTCTATCCCTCTCTAAGAATCAATAAAAACATATTTTTTATAAAAGTGACCATGGCAGGAAGTTCCAGAGCTTGAGCTGGATCCAACTTTGCCCTCGCCAAGCAAGAGGATCTTATGGAAAATCCTTCCTCTCTGTCTAAAGCTCTTGATCTGAGCAAAGGGGAAAATAATACAATAAGTGAGACAGAGACTCAAGTTACAGTCTGGAGTGACCTCTAACTAGCCGTGTGACCTTAGACAATGACTTACTATCCCTAAGCCTTGATTCCTTCTCTGTGAGATGGGGGCCTCGGTGAGATTTTCTATCATACCTTCTATCTCTCATATTCTGTGATTGCAGGATGTTTGTACCAAAGCCAGTACCAATCTGTTATCAGTGTGTAAGGAAGACTATTAATTTCTGGACCCCAAAGCCCAAAGTTTCAGAAAGAGTCTCTATTGACCACACCCACACTCACTAGCACGTGTGTGNGTTTCAGAAAGAGTCTCTATTGACCACACCCACACTCACTAGCACGTGTGCACACACACACACACACACACAGACACTCACCTCTGGTAGAGATTTCTGGAGTGTCCCTCAATGCAAGGGGTTCTGTGAAGTGGCTATATTTGTGCCTTACATCTGGGTTTTCCTCTGTACTGGGGGTTTGTCTGAAGGCTGGACAACCTAGGGCCCTGTTACCTGGAACATCACTCACACACCAACCATCCCATATACCTCGTCTGTAGTGTGTGTGAAGACCAGCTTGGCACTGCACCGTCCCCACCAGGCACGCATGGCCAGGTGCCTCCAGAACTCCAGGCCACCTGACCCTCTGGGCCAGAGGAATGAAGCGTCATCACGGACTCCTAGCTGCGCATCAAACACATGAGAGCCCCTGCCCACTGGCACGTCCTCTTCAGCAGGAAAGCACTGCTGAGAATGTGATGGACTTATTCATTCTCCTTTGTCACATAAGAATTTTCAGAGAATTATCAAGAACACAATTGTGCCTAAGTGCTAATACATTCTTTCAATCGATACTGTCAAAATACGGGCATTCTTTCCTTTTCTTCTTTGGCCTTTACATTCTAAGACTTAATGCTGATTGCATTTAAAAGGAAATTTCATAATTTCCAAGCAACCACTCACCAAAATAAGTGTGTGTCCAGAGAAAAATGCCTATTTTATTCTCTATCCCAACATTTCCAAGCACGTTCCTCTATGGTGCTGGAGTCCACCTCTCCCAGGAAGCCTGCGTCGATTAATCTAATCCATTTTCCAGACTTTAATCACCTTTCCTTCCTCAAATACCTTTGTAATTAGCATAATCAAAATCGGGTAGGTCTGTCCTGACTTACCTGTTTAAGGCAAGTTCCCTGTGTATGTCAAATTTAGGAGTCCAAAACCCTGTGGCACCAACTCTGTGATGTGCAAGAAATGCCTGTTGCTGAGCCAGCCTGCCTTTGCCCAATTACCCAAGCCCTACCGGTGACGCCACTCACTCAGGCACGTTGACCCATCACTTATCACAGTTAAATACAGCCATTAACTGCTGGCTTCGGCCACGCTGTTTATCTGGGACAATAACGAGTCCCTGAGGACTGGGCTGCTCTCAGGTAGCTGCAGCTATTCTGGGACACTCACAAGGGCAGAGCCCGTTCAATGAACAGAGACACCTGCACCAGCTG